TCCATTTCTTCTAGATTTTCCAACTTATTTGCATATGGGGTTTCAAAGTAGTCTCTGATGATTCCTGGATTTTCTTGGTGTTTACTGTGATCTCCTCTTTTTCCTGTCAAATTTTATTAATTTGGATCTTTTCCTTTCTCATTATAGACAGATTTGCTAAGTGTTTGACAATCTTATTTATCTTTTCAAATAACCTTCTTTCTGTTTTGTTGATTCTTTCTATGGTTTTTTGGTCTCCATTTTGTTGATTTTGGCTCTTATTTTTATTACTTCTGTCCTTTTTCTAGCTTTGGGTTTAGCTTCTTCTTGCCTTTCTAGGAATTTGAGATGCAGAAATAGGTATTTTATTTGCGATCTTTCTGTGTTTTTCCTGTATGCACTCATGGCTATACACTTTCCCCTTAGCACTGCCTTTGCTGTGTCCCATTGGTTCTGATTGGTTGTGTTTTCATTTTCTTTAAATTTCAGGAATTTTTGCTTTCCTTCCTTATATCCGTGATGACCCACTGACCATGGGGGAACATGTTTTTCAGTCTCCAGGTGTTTGAGTATATTTTGGTATTTCTTTTGTTGTTGAATTCTAATTTTATTGTGTTGTGGTCAGACAATATGCAGGGGGTTATTTCAATTTTCTTATATTTATTAAGATTTGCTTTGTGACCTAAAATATGGATTCAACTGTGGCATATTGCAAGAAATATTATACATGTCACAATGTACCCCAGTATACAATAATAAAAATAAATTTAAAAATACCTTATATGTCTGTTTTCCATAGCTGGAATGCTCTTGTTTCTGACTGAATCTACTCTTCCATGAGTAAAATGAGAAAACAGATATTTGCAGAAGCTCTTCTTTGGTCAGGAATTCTCTTCTGCAAATACCTGGCTGCTGTTTTGAGGAGCATTGAAGTCAGGGCAGAGAAAGAAGGAGAGCAGTAGGCAGTAAAATCTGATATTTACCAGATTTAAACCAGATGATTTAAAGCTTGGAGGAGCATTCTAAGTCTTTGGCTTTTGCTTTTTGGAAAAAGTTATCTTTGTTTTATATTTAATTCAACTTTGTTTTTATATATTTAAAAATTTAATAAGTTTTCAAAATAAAAACTACAAAGCAATATTATTTTAAAACAAGATAGTGACTTTCTGTCTCTATCTACATTTCTTTCCTTCCCTATATGTAATCATTTTTATTCATTTTAACCTCCTCCTAATATTTTATGTTCTTAATGACATGTAGGAAAATACATATACATATCTGTATTCTGTTTTTCTATGCAAATGATGCATACTATTAATTTTTTTAGTGTGATTTTCCTATGTACCTTGTACTTACTTTCAACATGCCATGTATGTGTTCTAGTCTGATCTTCAAATCACGATCCTCTTCCCTTAGCCTTCCAAGTGCTGAGATTACAGTTGCACACCATGCCCAGCTACTATTGTTATTTCTTTCCTGTATTCTTTTCTTTTCAAAACTATACCATGATGATTATTGTAGATCATACTTATAAATCTTCCTCATACCCAGAAGGGTCAATATTCCTTTAAAATAGTTTTTTAGAAGTGAGGAGATTGACTACCTGCAATTTTGCTAGATGTTATCAAATATCTCTGTGTGGCAGTTGCATGATTTTTTATTTCCATTTGCAGTATGTTAGAGGGTCCCTTTTTACTTTCAACCAAGTCAATTAGTTTTCATTTTGAAATCTTCATAAATCAAAAATGATACCCAAATTTTTTCATTTTTAAGCTGAAAGAGGGTTTCAACTAGAAGATATTCTCCCTTTTCTTTTACATACACATTTTACTTTTTGACATTTAAACATATAAGAAAAAGATTTTTTTGGTGTCATAATTATTTAATAATTTTGCCTGAATCAAATAATCAGGAAGAGAAGTCTTCTAGAGGTCATTGGATTAACTCTCATCTTGAAAATGAGCAAATTGGTCCTCTACTAAAGCCCAGATGATTCAGATCACCTAAGTAGGCCTTCGGGTTCCAAACTGGACATTCCTTGGAACATTAAAAGAAAAACTTCTAGGATAGGTTTATGCTGCCTACAAATGTTTACAAAATTAAGATTAAAGAAATTAAGATACTTTTCCCCTTTCTGGGAATTGTGTCTTGAAGCCAAAGGGTACAGTGTTACATATATTTGAAATTTATTTCATGTTTTATCCTTTTTTTATTGGATTATTACCATGGGTTTAATTTCATGGAATGGTTTTTTGAGATCTGTTCTTTGACTGCATAACAGTGCATATCCTGGCATAGTAGAATTTGACTATTAACTAATATTCAAATTATGAAAATGAAAAAGGTGTGATTTGTGTAAACTTCTGAGTTCCTGTTTTCCATGGTGTAATACCGTAACTGATTTCAAGCTGCCTGAGTCCATAACATGGAGTTGGAAAGGTGTGCTGGCATGCCACTTGGGAGTTAGTCTGAACTGCCTGCAGATCAGCACTGGTTCTGGCTGCACAAAGCAGATTGATATTACACATGAATTTACATAATAGTTAATAAATGACAAATATTTATATGATCATATGATATGCTAGAGTAGTACTTAAAATTAAGGATAAGTCCCTTGGTGTTTCTCTCTTTTTCTCTTTCAGAATAATTTCTTATTAGTATTTCTATAATTTGTGCATATCAGATGTCCATATGGATGCATGAATTTATTTGCCATTAAAAGTCACTTGCCAATAATTTGCTACTAAAATGAATTCATAACACTATATTTTTGGAAATATATTAAGTGTGATATGTTCCACAGGTAAAATACTTTATTGATCAGTTGAAAATATTTGTCTAATTGAAAGCAAAAAGGAAAAACCATATTACAAAGTTGTCAGCAAATTTTAAGTGGAAATCATGACAAATTTTTTTCTTCTGAAGTAAATACTCAGTTTTAATATGAACTTTTTAAAAATTTTGCTTACTTTGGACAGTATTGCAAATTTTAATGATTTTAAAATTAGGCATAAGAAATCAAAATATTATAACTTAAAATATCTTTCACTTAATTGAAAATATTTTATCCATTTGTCTTTTGATTCTTGTAGCACTAGATTTAAGACCTGATACATATTTTTAATCTTCATAGTGCTAAAAAAGCTAAGGGACACACTGGTGAAACAAATTGAGATTTCTCACTAAGCAAATGTTACATTCAGAACTCCCACTTAGATTTTTAGTCTCCAAGGAATCTATGCTCTCAAAAATAGAATGACTGATGCACAGTGAGTGCACAAGCCTGATAAAATAAAAGATAATTTATTCAAGAACACTAGTATGACATTTCAATATCACAATTATACAATCAAAACTGCTACAGCAGCTTTGTCCTGCTGTGCGAGGAAACAGGAAGAAGTTAGTATTCACAAGTAGTGGATAATGTGCCTAATAACAAAATGAGGAAACTTTTGAAAACTGTGATTCACAGTGTCTCTAAGATCTCAGAAAATACATACTACAATCATCAAAGGTGGACACTGCTAAGTAAATTTTTAACAATAGTTCTATTTAAATATTTAAATATGATGTTCTCTCTCTGGGCATTAGTAATATCTTTCTAGTATTTTACCATTAAGCATTCAGGTTATCCATTCATTAAAAAAATCTAAGCAGAATATTAAATGAAAGGCATAAGTCACATGCTCAAAACTCCTTTCTGTATAATTAGAAATTGTTAAACTAGCATGTTTGGAAACATACACAAATAGAGATAATATCTATCTCTATATTGCAGTGATTATCTTCTCTGTTATGGTGTATGGTAATCCTTATTTATAAATTGTTTCCTCAAGTTTGTGTGATTTATAATTAGTAGAGCTGGCAACAGAATACATGTCTTCATGGTTATAAAAGGAAAGAAAATAATATGCAAGTTCTTGTCATGTGCCATTAGTCTTTTTACCATCATTTAATCCTCAAAAATACTTCCATTTTCTTTTTTTATTATAGTTGTACTGAGGGTACATCGTGACATTTGTCAAAGTTCTCACATTAAATTATAGTTGAATTCATCCTCTACATAGCAACATTATTCTCATTTGACTGGTGGAAAACTGGTGAGAGCATTGTTAGGTTACAATGACAATTTTGGGATTTCATCACATTCCTTGACTACAAGGCCTAAATATTCTCTTTCTATTAGGTTACATTAACTACCAGACTTCAGGCTATAATCTACACCTTAGTAAATAATGATCAATCCACCCAAGCATAATTTGCCGAGGACAATTGCAGATAATCCTTGCTACTAACAAAATGGCATATATTTTACTTGTTGTGAATATTTTTGTTTAGAATATGATCCCTCACCCCACACATGTAGATATTCTATCCCTGAATTATATTTCTAAAAGAAAATCTAGAAAAAATGTGGTGTCATATGCATGAGAAAAAATATCATTGCAAGTGTTAGTTTTTAGAACAATTAAGACTTCCAGGACAGGAGACATTCATGTTCAATCAGTGACATGGATGGAATTAGAATTAGTTTATTACTGATTCCCTTTCACAAAACCAATTTGTTCTATGTAGAAAAATATGGGACAGTCATATTTTCTTGTAATTTTTTAAAATTAGGAGACCAGGAAGAACTATTGAGACTGTTCATCTTTAATTTCTCACATAGAATATCAGTGCAGGATTAGGATCCAAAATTATAAATGGGAAGCAAGGGGAGTCTGATATTTTGCCCATACTCTGCCTATAATCATGTATATCCTGATAATTATCTTTTCCCTTTTTTCATTTGAGAGATGGAAATATTCATATAAATTCTTATGGACAAATGAATCATTGTTCATAAATTTCCAACTTAAAAATTAAAGGAATATAAATTCTTATTTTTATGTCTGAAATCACATTCTCAATAGAAATCTGAAGAAAATTTCACTTTACAGTGAACAGATAAATCACATATAAAGAAATACACATAATGATAAATTTGAAAACAATGAAAAGTCCATTTTTATTTATTGAAGTCACTTTCTTAATTTCAGAAGCACAAAAACCTCGTTTCTGCTGGTAATAAATTTCTTCAGAGCATCTTTCACTTCCTTGTTCCTGAGGCTGTAGATTAAGGGGTTCAACACAGGAATGATCACTGTGTAGAAGACTGAGGCCATCTTGTCTGTGCCTAGGGAATGATTAGAGCTGGGCTGTAAGTGCATAAAGATCAGGGTCCCATAGAATATGGTCACAGTCAGCATGTGGGAACCACATGTGGAGAAAGCCTTGCGTCTTCCTTCAGCTGAGCGCATCTGCAGGATGGCAGAAATAATGTACATGTAGGAGATAAAGACAATTGAAAGGGAAGAAATGAACATTATACCAGCACAGGCAAAGATCCATAGCTGTTTGGAGTGAGTGTCTGAGCAATTTAGCCTGAGCAGAGTCATGTCATCACAATAGAAGTGATTGATGATATTGGAGTGGCAATAGCAGAGGCGAAAAGTGAGGAAGGCATGAAATACTGCAACCAGAATGCTATAGCTATAGGGGGCAGCTACAAGCTGAATGCAGACTCCTGGGGACATTACGACCATGTAGAGGAGAGGGTTACAAATGGCCACATATCTGTCATAGGCCATAGAAGATAGTAGCAAACATTCAGCTGTCATGAAGGCTAGGAAACAGCCTAACTAACTGAGCAGCACATGCATTGAAGGATATAACATTTTGTCTGTATAAGAAGTTCCCAAGCATCTTGGGTGTAATCACAGAAGAATAACAGAAATCCACAAAAGCTAGGTTGCTAAGGAAGAAGTACATTGGCATGTTGAGTCTTGCTTCAGTTCTAATGACCAGGATCAAATCTAGGTTGCCTATAACTGTGAAGAGGTAGATGGATAAAAATACCAGAAAGAGGGACATCTTCAGCTCCTGACGATCTGTGAGGCCCATGAGAACAAACTCCTTTACCTGGGTGCAATTTATCTCAGCCATGTGTCTTCAAGTCATGTAAATGAAGAGAGGACAGTGTAATCAACATTTCTGTAGTATTATACCTTAATATTCTAAACCACAATTTTATTATTAACACAAAAGTGCTAACTTAATATTAAAATAATTACCACAGTTGGAGTCTGAGGATGATATGGATATCAAAAGGAAACAGTTTCTCCAAAATGTTTCTCCAATTTTTTCCTGATACAGAGTTGCAAAGACATGTTGATAGGTAAAGCATCCACTTATTTGATCAAATGCAATTAATACCCACATTTAAAAATATTTTGCTTAATTAAAATAAAAGTGACATTTGCATTCCAATTGATTTACATATCCATTTACATAAGTCCTATCACTTCTTTACCATTTACTTAGTAATGCATATGTTTGCATTATTATGTAGTAATTCTTATTACTTTAGTGTATTATATTAGGTGGAATATTTCCATATATTTTATCTAGTTTTTGGATTTTGTTCAATACAAGATTTGCTACCAAATTTTATAATACAGTATATTTCACTCTCTTTTTTATCTCCATGAAACTTTAGAACGAGTTTAAATTTCAGTTTTTAGATTTTGAAAGCGTACAAGTTGTTTTATGTCCACTAGAAAGTAGACTTTGTATAAATAGTATAAAAATAAAATAGATCACTTTTCCAGTGTTTCTTTTTGACTAATGGCTAAGGTATTAGAGATTTTGGTTAAGTTATCTCAGAGTGTTTTCTAATAACACTGGATTATTTCTATGGTGTAATTTTTACTGGGCAAGCACCCCATGGTAAATAATTACTTTTAATGTATACAAATTCACTTTTTGTTTATACCACGAGAAATCCATTATATGTCATCTTGGAGCTCTGGCACAGAGATTTTTATATATTTAGTGGTGACAGTTGTTGCATGGAGGAAAATACAGACAAGGAAATCTTCAATCTTGTATTACAAATTACATGTGAAGAAATTACAAGCACTTTTGTTTTAAGGAAAAATAGTTGCTTTTAAAAAAGGAACAGATAATTATGCTTTTTTTATAGATTTACTCAGATTGAAGCCCTTTTCTTAACTAGTGGCATTAAGATATTTTGGGCAATGATCCACAGCAAGAAAATATGTGTTATAAACTGTCACAAAACATGTGCAAATATCCAAAATGATATTCATATATTTAGACATGTGGATATCCAAATTAAGAAGGACTACCCTTCCAAAGTCAATCCCTTAATCTACCGCCCTCCGGGAAACCAGCAACCTGCTTGGGAAGTATCCCTCTTCTTGCCCTGGACCCATTAAACTTGGGGGTTTCTATAATGAAACTATACTCGGCATCTGATTCTCACTTCAGGTCGTATTAACTAAGATTGGTCATATTAACTAAGATTGGTCATATTAACTAAGATTAACACATGTTCTAGTGTGTTGTGTTCTTTTTAAAAGATATATTTCATTAAAGCATGAAACATACTCACCTTTTGATAATATTTCTTAAGGACAATTTCCCTCCCATCCTTTTTCCACCCTAAGGTAAACATACACTTCCTTCATACATTGACCTCTTAGTAGAAATATCTCTGTCTCCACAGAACACTTTCTTTCATGACTTTTCTGACACAAAATGTCACTTTTCCTTGCAGTTCTCATCAGCATCAACCATTTTTAGGCTACATTCCTATTTGAAGGGAAATATATGTGTGAAAACATAAATTATAAATTTATGTGTTATGTACCTATACATACATATGCATATAAATACAGAGATATATGTTTTGTCCATCAAGTATTTTTTAACATGTAGTCCATGTTACTTTTTTGTACTACTGGGGCTTTGAACTCAGGATCTTGTACTTGCTAGGCAAGCATTCTTCTACTTGAGACACATCTTCAGACCTCACATAGACTCAAAATCGTAAGAAACAACTATCTTTGGAGAAAGCCATATGTAAGTCCTTTTGTTTCCCTGGAACTTTAGGGTGCAGCTAACTAGTAGGTCTCAGAAAATAGTTACTGAATGGAAAGCTCTTCTGTTCTAACTCTACACTAACAAGCCTTCTTTCCACCATCAGTTTCAGATGACTTTGTAGCAGTCAGTATATTTATTTTTCATGATGACAGCATTAAAAAGCATTAGAATGGTGCTTTAATTATGGCCATGCCATACACTGATAATGTTTTCCATAGTCAAATTACTCAAACTTTCCTGGCTTGTTTACTGAAATATGAGTTAAACTCCTTCTTAAAGAATAAATGTAAAACTTCCATTTAGGTTAACTCTTGCTATTACTCAAGAGAAGAAAATATGGTATAATTTCCAGCACAGTTAACAGTTTGTAATGAACAATTTCTTTTCTAATGGCAAATAACTATTTAAATGTATCATTTTATTGGTCACTAAAGCTTGCAGGTTTATAGTAGAATGAACCCTGATTAATGCTGGGAGACCTGGGCTGAATTTGTTTCTGTTATTCACTACCTATGTAAACTTTAGCAAACCAAAAATTCAGTTTGTTTTCTCACTATCCTAATCTATAAATGATGCTCTTTATATCTAAAAAGATGGCTGTGAGTATTAAAAGAAAGGTGCTTGCTGGTCATGGTGGTACATACCTGCTAATCCAGTACTTGGGAGGCTGAAACAGGAGGAGGATCACAAGTTTGAGACCAGCCTGGGCTACATCGTGAAAACCTGTATTGAAACAAAACAGGAAGATATTTATGCTGAGTACATAGCATATAAAAAAATTTTTATTATATCATTTTTATATTTACTTACATGTGTATGCATTATTTAGGTCACCTCCCCTCCCCCCCAGCTTCTGAGCAGAACCTGTTCTGCCCTCTTGTTCTACCACATTGTTGAAAAGAAAACATAAGAGAAACATAGCATTTTTGCTAGTTTGAGATTAGACAGCTGTACAGAGAGATTCCTAGTTTTATTACCATGTACAGGTATATTACAACTCACATTGGCTCATCTCTACCAGACCTCTTCACTACTTCCTAGTCCCCTTACTATAGTGGCCTCTTCCAGTTTAAGATTACTTTATACTCTCATCTACAGTGAGCACATCATCCACATTCAAGTTTTAGATTTCCTTTCCTTTCCCTATTCTACTCGTGTGCATTCTCCCCTTAGGGTGTGACCCATGTCCAATAATATTTCTGCAATTGTTTTAGGCCTATAATCCACATATGAGGAAGAACATGTGATTTTTGACCTTGTGAGCCTGACTAACTTCACTTAAGATGATATTCTCCAGTTTCATCCATTTACTTGCAAATATTATAGAAAATGTTTGAAAAACACATAAAACTCCACTGTCATGTTAGAAGACATTCATAAATGTCCAGGGTCAGCATAATTGCTTTTAAACTTTATTGAAAGCTGAGTTGTCAATGCTGACAGATTAAGATGAGATACCTCCAATTCTTAAATATGGAGGATTCTGAGCAAGAATAACACAGACATTTCTTAGCAAAGGGACACAGATAGCATCCGTGTGTAATTTGTGCAGTGTGTCCTTTAAGTTTAAGACAGAGAAGACTGTCTTAAAATTTTAGCCCTTCAAACATAATTTCTGCAAAGAATATATTAAAAGGAAAATCTATAGCTTACCTTATACCTGATATATCTGTCACATTAGGAAACAGAACACAAATACATCATGAGAAGTTATACATACTTCATTGAGTGTGGATATGAGTATCAAAATGAAATAATTTGAGTAGGCATGCATGAATGTATCAATCACTTCCTATAAAGGAAACAACCATGATAATATTGATAAATGATGCCGCTTTCCATTATATCTGGTAGATAAGCCATCAAGGATTTTAAGAGTCTATCTGATATTCCCTCAAGTATTTAAGTCTTATTTTGAAATACAGTCTTGAGTGGACTGATGGCCAGGATACACTTTGAGAATGCATCAGTGAAGGAGTTAATCATTGTGTGAACATCATAGAGTACTTGCACTATCTAAGATGGGTACACCACTCAGTTATGGGGCAGTCGTCATATATACAGTTCATCATTGGCCTGAACAGTGTTATGTGGAACATGACTGTAATTAAGAAACTATTAAGTTGAAAATTTGTTTTGAAATCTGGAGATACCAGGTAAGGCTGAATTGCTTGTCAGCTATATGGAGTTCAGCTTGCCACTGCATTTTATATTGAAGGTAAGGTATACATTATATTGAAAAGATATTTTATATGACTTTTTACAATATCACCCATGATGTTTACATTCAAATTCCATCCACATTTTCCCCTTCTGCCAAACCTGGCAATATAATTATCCTAATAAAATTAAGATAATCATTTTGCAATATATCCTTACATTTTACTCTGCTTTGGCATGTGCTTTTCACTACACTCCTGTCTACAAGTGAAAAATGAATGCAGAGTTGGAAGATTTTTATTCATCCTTCAATCCTCTCAAATATTTAATTCCTATGCTGTGTTAACAACATAGTTCTATCAACTAAGAGCCTACCCTTTTCAAACAATCTGATACATTTTTCCTTGGACTTCTCAGATCTTGTTTCTACCTCAAACTAAAAAGAAATATATTTTTATAAGACATGAACATATATAACAAGTAAAATTGAAGGAAGGACTATTAGCTTTATTTAAGAAAATGCCACCTAAAACATTCTTTTCCTAAAGTCAATTGTAGTTTACTCTACTTAAAATGCTTATTTTGACACCAATTTTGAAATCTGTTCTTTGAACTTACTTGGGTAATGGGTGTTCCTATCTCCTCTCCAAGTAGGAATGGGTAGCAACAAACTGCAGAGTTTTGTCAGTGACACTATCCCAAAGGATCTACTTAGGATTGTGACGTATATAAAAACATCACAAAAATTTCAACCTAAGCCCCAGGGGATCCTAAAGCAGGCTGAGATCAATTAACATGATTCTTTAGTTTTGAGGAAACACAGAGCTAAAGCTCTGTGAATTATTACTCTAATTAAATCATTTTTGGGAATCCATTTA